CCGTACAAAACAAAAGTGCAAAACAATTGCTCATACAAAACATATACGAGTTGGGTCTTGTTAAAGTTGCAGGAAGATTGTATTGTCGACTTGAGTGCCACATTTTCTTGGGTTTTGAGACATGGCTTACACATGTGAGTGACATGCCATTTAAGGATCATATCAAATTCAATGAAGGTTGCAACTTTTTCGTCCTCTGCATGTACAATTGTACATCGACAACAACAAGACAACTCGTTCCAGCAGTGGTTGACAAAGTGTGAATGTGTGAAATGGAAAAGCCAAAATGAGAACAGCAGTCAAAACAGGATAATGGACTCATTGCTGTTGATGTTGTTTTTCTTCATTTTTTTCTCTTGTCTCTCTTTTATTTGTGAGTGCTGTGATTTTTGAATGCATAACATTGCGATGTAATTGTTGCAATATGACAATGCATTTCAATGAAAAATACAAAGAAAGGATAATCTCGCACTCCCTCTTCATTTTCCATACAAAATTACTATCATCATTTCTATTATTTTCCACTATATGATTATAACCATCATCATCCCATATCTTAGACAGTTAAATATGTGGTATAACATATTTGAAATTCGTTTAGGTAGCGGCTTTCACAAGGATATTCATTCCATGTCAACTATAAAATTCGCTACAAATAGTTTTCGACTACAATTCATTCACTCTATATAATAAGAGAGCACCGACATTCATGCAACAGAGAATTAAACAAAAAGTGGCTTGATCTGCCTTCTGTTGCATGCTCTTGAGTGTTTACATTAACAACACTCTCAGCGTGTGTTATCTTCCTTTTGTATGTACGTGAGTTCTTTTTTTCTTAGTCTGTTACTGCTGCCGCTGCTTGTTGTGCCTTCAATTCAAGTGAATAAATGAATTTTGAATGGCATTCATATTGCACAGTACACAAACACACTCACATGCGGTGGTAATTCGTGTGTTGTGAGTAAATAAACAGCGCGCAAAAAAAGCAGATTAATATCGGCTCAATTTCGCCTCGGCTCCTTAATGGAATGTCAAACAATGGCAAACACAAAATTTATCTCGCTCTCTCTCTTATTGTAAAAGAAAAATTCTTGATTATGCCAGAAACTCTCATTTATTTAATGGAATTTTAATGAGTTTGGCTTCGAAATTTTCCGTTTTGGTACACTTCAACTATACATTATAATATTTTTTCTCTTTTCTTCTTTAATTCGTTATTTGATTGATATTCGTTTATTATTTACAATACTGTAAGAGACATTCAATCAAATTTACACGGTTCCATGATTAATAATTCCTTTGGCGCACCTTTTCATCTGCGAGCACAAAACACATGCTGATTGATTTTGAAAGTGTACGTTTTTTATTTGTAAATTTGGCAATAGTATTGTAGTTAACTTATGGGTTTCTTTCAAATTTCAGTTAAACAGTCGGCTTTAATTCAAATTGAATATGAAATTGGGACTATCAAATGTCGATAAAAGCGTTACCAAAAGACTAATCACTTTATCCGACAAAAATCGAAACGGAAACCCCCTTTTTACTACTCTGATTTTATCTACGTTTTCAAAACTTTGTCATAATTTAATTCCCATTTTTCTTACTGCTGCAATTGCAAAAAAAAAACTCCTTTTGCCGCCATTTAATAACGATATAACTGACACATCATTCGAATCAACGTTAGATTGTCATTGTTCCATGAACACACTTAGTTATGATTATGTTTGGTAATTATTTTCTATGAAGTGAACAAGTCATCTCTTTTGGGTGTGGAATGTTTGAAATGTACGATTCAGGTTACAGACGCACTTTAAATCGAATAGAGTCTATATTTTCATTCTATAAATGTAAAATTAAATAAGTTATGCGTTTCGTTGTGTCGTCTTTTTCTATTCGCCGCGTGTCTCTCACTTATTTGCTTCTAATGGCAAAGCGATTTTTCCTTAGCTTATTTCATGCGGTTCTCCCCCTTTCTTCTGTTCAGTCTCACTTCGATAAAATCATACACGACACAGATAGAGATCGAACCGAGTTTCCAACTGTGCCAAAGTGTAACGTAAGATTTAAATTGATTTTAATTACACAGCAAAAGCGAATATTATTGCATGTGATTTGGAAGGGAGCCGATGCTGATGCTGTTCTTATATCGTTTTGCGACAAAAACACAAAACTTTCTGAAAATGAAAACATTCTTCTCATCCTTTTTTTTAAAACGATATTAGATTTCATAAATATCATCAAAACATTTTTGCCGTCTTTCATCTACTTTCATATTTCGGCTCCGGTTTTATGAACATTGCTATGACAAACGGCAATTTATCATTTTTCTTTGACATTTCGGAAGATATTCAATTGAAATGACTTTATTATTAATATATCCGAATTGATTTTGTGATATTTTACAACATTACTTTCACTCAACGATGACGACGACGACAGCGGTTGTAACAGCAAAATGTACAATCAATTCAACATGGAATTTTTGCTTAATTACAATTAAAAGTTTGCGTTATATTTAAAATTGAATAACTCTCTTCAAACGAGCGAAACATAGAGAGAGAGAGAGAGAGAGAGAGAGAGAGAGAGAGAGAGAGAGAGAGCAGGAGAATCTAGAAGAGAATTGTATACAATATCAACTTTTAATTGAAATCAAGTCGAAAATAAAATGCTGGAACATCCTGATTATATTGAAATACATAGCATACCGTGACTGACGTCATTATTTATGTTTCAAACTCACGAAATGGCTGATTAATTATAATCAATTATTGTTTCATCGTTTGAGAATATTGCAATGCAGACGACACTATGGAAAATCAGCAATGAACAGCGGAATAGAATTTAAATCAGAAAACCAATTAGAACCAATGGATTATTGACATGTTAATTTACTATTTTACGGTTCATTGTGTCGGTTGCAAAAATCGAAAAATATATATGAAAAATATATGTTGTAATACACAGAGTTCAAATTATATAAAAAGCTTAAATTGAATGACAAAAAGTCACGAACGATTATTGGAATGATTCGAATCGTATGTGAACGAGTTTAAAATAGAGTTCAAATCCTATGATAGAGAGACTTGTTAAAATCGCATTCGAAACGAAAAAAACGTCATTCAATGTGATCTTTTTAATATACTTTTTTCTATTTGTTCAGTCAACTTTTAACACTCGATCTACTTCAAATAGTTAGATTTTAATATGTTTTTGTTTGTCAATTGGCTAGTCAAAATGAAATATCATTTCTTTGCATCTGATCAACATCACTGTTTTTCCATTCGGATGAAAAAAAAAACTGTCGCATTTGGTGAGAAATGAATGAATAAAAAATGAAAATTATTTACATTAAAATCGTTCATATGCGTTGAGTGTGAATGGCTATGGTGGCAGCTCCCAAATTGGGCATAAATGGAATAATGCGTGTCCGCAACAGTGAAAAGGTTGCTGTGAGTTTTTATTGTTGGATGTATATGTTATTTGTGAATTTTTTCTAAATGTATGAGTTAGTTGATTGTTTTTAATTTACACTACTCGATTGGAATCAAAGTCGTGAGAGAGCTGGTGAACAAATATTTTTGTTGAACAAAAAATTGGTGAACAAATATTCAATGGGGAATCAATATTTAAACAACAACAATAACAGGAATAAAAAAAATAGTGGAAAATATGCAATAACAGTTTTTCGTCCAAATCATGCACCAAAAAATCAACCATGAATTAAAATTATCGCATGCAATTTCACGATTATTGTGAACACAGCACAACAATACGAATAATAATACTTTCATTTTGTATCGTTTGTATTATTATAATACCAAACGGATTTACAATAACAATGTGGTGTCCACTTTGTGCGCGCGAGCACGTACTCTCCAACAGTTAAAAAGTAAAAATCTATGTGTATTATAAAACACGGAAAGTATAGCATAATTTCATACGACAAAAAAATAAAAGTCAACTATTGAATTTCAGAGTTGAATAAAAAAAAAACGATAAATAAAATGGTGAGGTGTACGCGATATGTAATTAATGTTGTTCTTTCATTTCCATAAAAATAAACTGTGAAAATAAATATAACGAACAAGTTGGGAATAAAAAAAATGAGACATTTTCGAGATATGGCAAAAAAACTAAATGTAACTGAGAGAAAGAGAGCAAGAATGGAGAAGAAAACGGAGAGAATGAGAGCGCCCACCAATATGGTCACTAAAAATCTATTGAATAGATAGAGAGAGAGAAAGGAAAGAAAATCTCTAAACATGACAGAAAATTGAAACAAAAACTTTGTATAGCTATAAAATTTTTTACAAAAAATGAAGAAGAAAGTAAAAAAATAGAATTGAAACAGTTACTCTTGGTGGTGATGGTGGTTGTGTGTTTTGTTACAAACAAATAGTCCTTAGGGCCAACAAGTGAGGTGTAGCCGCAAAGGACTCCAATACAAATAAAAAAGGCACATCAAAAAATTACTCTTGTGTTGTTTTCTCTTGTATAATTTTTTTGCTTCGCTTTTCGTTTTGGTCATTTTGGTTTTTCATGTCGCATTTGTGTATTTTTTTAATAACATAATTGATTGGTCTTAGCGAAGAAGAGTGTATGTGTTTATGTTTGTGTGTTACTTGGCGCGCTAGTTGTGTGATGTTGGGTAATTTTTAAGTATTCAATGTTTTGTCAAATGCTTGTGAAATTGTGAACATGAGATGCGATGCGGACGATGTGATGTGGTTGGTGATATCCTCTGTTGACTACACCCCAGCCAGTTGAATCGCCTGCAGACATTTCCTATTTCCCTCAAAACTCTTTAATTTTTTTTATCAATTCTCTGTCATTGTGTCTGTCTCTTTGTCGCACAACACGCTCATTCGACGCGCAAATAACGGACAATTAACGCGAATGCGCGCACGTCGCGTGCATTGTGCATTTTGACATTTTTCTTTTCTCATTTGTTTGTTTGTTTCTTTCAATAGTTTATTTTTTTTTCTTTTCGAGATAGATACCTTTCAAGGGGTTTAACCGACAAGCATCTGAAAATAAAAGAAAAAAATCGACCGTTCGTTCATTGAATTACTTATTCTGTTTTAAGTGTGATTATGTTTTTTTGTTTTAAATATTCAAATTGAGATTGGAAGTACAAGTTTTGTGTTTTGATGATGAAAAATTAACAAACAACAACAAAACAAAATGGTATACATACGTCTATATATAGAAAAATTATTTTTTTAAATGAGATAATAATTGTTATCATTTTTCGTGTTCTAAAGATAGGTTGGTTTTTCGTTTACAAAAAAAAACAACATAAATCATACAATTATATCGGAAAATGGAGTATTAACTTTTCTTCATCATGTGTTAGAGAGAACAAGATTTGAGTAGTCCATCTGTCGTTATTTGTAAATCGCTTCAATTAAGGATGTCGATTAATCACATCACATTGGACCAGTTCTTTTTCATCTTCACTTAGACGTTAATTCAGTCACCAGTTGTAAATCATTTTCGAGAAAGAAAAATCAAAATAAAAACCAAAGACTGAAGATGAAACAAAAACTATATGTAGGCACATTTGCCAACTAAAAGAAACAAATCCATCAATCATTTCTTCAAGTGTAAAATTGTAAACATTACCGGATTCGGTGTGCGAGGTCGTCGAACAGTAGTAAATGGACAACAAACGTTAATCATAATAATAATCGAATTTCGATAAATGTTTTAACTAATTTGCTCGGACTAATGATGTGGCTTTGAATATGTGTAGAAAAACATTAACGATTCTTTTTATGATGAATGTTTTTTTTTTTTGGACTTTTTTCTCGCTCTTGTTTTTGTCTTTTCTGCCATAAATATTTCTTTGGCTTTCGAACAAATCTTCAATTCTATTTCTCTTTTTTCCTTCTTGTTGTTATTTTGAGAAACAGAAAAACAACAACCATAAAATAGTCACACAATACCGATAAATTACAGCCGCTCGTAATAAAACCGAAGTGAATATGAAGGTGTTTCGTTGATTTTTTATGGATTTGGTTTGTGTTTTGTTTGATTGAAGGACTATCAAAAGTGTGTGTGTTCATTTTGCCGACAAAAGTCAATCGGAAACCGTTTGAAAAATATGGAATTTTTTTCGTTCCTGTGTGTGTAATTTTGATTAATGAAAAATAGATTATTACAAAAGGAACGAATCGAAGTGTCAAAGTCTTCACAAAGTGCTTTACTCTAACGGTGCACATATAACCGGATGCAGCATTCAATTGGAAATGATTTCAACTTTTGAATATTTAGAATCAAGTTTTTCATATACAATCAACAGAATTAAACATTTGTTGGTATTTTTTTCTACAAATACGGAACAGCTTTCTGATTGATTTCCGATGGGAAAAGAATCGATTCAACAAATCAACAATCACTTGATTTTATTGTGTGAACCAACTTACAACTTATACATGCACACACACACACTTGAAGAAAGCAAAGACTCTTTTACTGTACTCAACACAATTTATGCCGTTACCAAAGTTTATGACATTGAGTTTTGATTTGCATTGAGCTCATAAAATCCATCGACAATGTTGCATACATTGTCTAATGTTGAAGTACAAGTCAGCTAAGAATTGAAGAAAGGAAATTGAAATCGATTTGAAAGACATGCAATACAATGTATTGATTCGGTTTGGTGTGTAAGCGCTCGCGCATTATAAATCAAACAAACGCATAAGAAAATGCAATTGAAATGATTTTCGATTTATTAATAAAATGAGCAATTGAAAGGAGAAAAAAAAATGCAATATCGATTTCATTTGTTTTGCAGCTCATAAACTCAACTCCAGTTCGCACACACATACAATGAAAAAGCCACTTGAAAATGAGATGTATTGTTACCAACGAGTAAATTAGTCTAAACGAAACGAAATATGTAATGCGCATTGCAAATAGTTTTCATTCCGTTTTGCGTTTAACGTTCTTCGGGTCTCGCCAGAAATTGGCCTTTTATCGAGAGAATTCGCATTTCATAGAGTTTACATGTATACTGGACTATGGTTTAGCGTTGTGCGTTTTTTTTTGTATAGAGCATGAGCTCGCGCGCGTTTTTAAGCGAAGAGAATGAACGAGTGAGAGAGAACACATTGCGCGTACCCATAAGAAGCACAGATAGACACAACAACAGCAGCAGCAGCAGTAACTGCACTTATAAACAATATTGATTAGCAATTTTTCATAGTTCGTATCGTGATTTAATTTCCAATATCAAATAATTGCAGTAAGAAAATTAATAGTTTGCAATTTAGTTTTGTTGGTGTGGTTGGTGCATGCGGTATTGCAGTGAACGAAACGAACAGTGATATATAGATTCAAGCGCGCATTTGCGCTCGCACCAGCCGACCGAGGCTTAACGCTTTGTGAGTCTGTGAGTATTTCTCTCGCTGTATTCGTACTACACATAGTTGCACAATATAAGTTTTGATGTGATTTTCCGTTCTTGTTATCTGTGCGAAATCGAAAAATCAATTTCTTCGGAATTCCACTTTAAATGTTTTGGCACTGCCAATGTGTATTTGCAATTACACAAACTTCAAAACAACTATTTAATCAAAAAAATGGTTGTGGTGCATTTACGGTGGTGGTTGTGTCTTTTCTCCTTAATATTTTATGGATTCGAGCTTCTCTCTTGTGCTTCCGCTTATGAGATTAGCCAAAAAGGTCTTTTAACTTGTCTAATCATCAATTTTACGGATTTAATTTTGCCCGGATGAACGAGAGAGGCAAATCAAGTAATTTTTCTAGTCAAAACAGTTGTAATCTTTGAACGCCCTGCACAATTCTAGTTGCACATTAAATTTATTGCTTACACTACGTAAATTGAATGCATATATTCATTTTGTGCGGTTCGTTTTCCATATGGTTGAAGAATCGATTCGATCATTGCGCAACATTTTATATGGAAAACATATTTTATTTTATTTATTGTTGGTATAAAAATGATTGGAAATGCCAGTAAACACGTAATGACACCAAAATTTACCGATTACACTGAAAGATTACAAGAAAAAGAAACGGTTGCTCTTGATGTTTTTCCATTCAATTCAAATATAATGGTACTGGTCAATTGCGATAATTGAAGTGATGAGTTTGGTTTTTGTGTGCATTTCTGCGCCTCAAAGAGGTTTTTTCATCTACTATTTTTTTTTGGTCTGAAGCCGTTTTGATGGAAACTTATCTCTCTTTTGTTCATTGAACAATGTTCAAATACAAAGCCTTGCAATAGGAAATTAGAGTCATTTTTTGAATGTGTAAAAATAAAATCTTGCCAATTAATTTGTTTTTTTTTGTTTATCAGTTGTAATGCAGTTAATTTCAATATACTATATTGACTTGAGTCGACTGATCGCTGCAAAGTATAGACATTTAAAAAATAACACACATCGAAACGTATGTACGACAATTGCATATCAGCAAAATGATTCTGATGATGGACGTAAGCTCTGACAACTCCATACGTCGCATTCGATCAACATCGGCAGCATAAATGGCAAGTGAGTAAAGAAGCGAAACAAAAACAAAAACCGGATTGCATGCAAATCATGCATGTGTAAATGTTGGTAAATTTATGAAGCGCGTAGAGTTGAAAATGTGTTTGCATGCATTCACGCATTTCACTTGAGTAGTCGTAAGCAGATATCATTCTGCTCTCCTTTTCGGGGTTTCTCTCGCTCTAACTCCTCTCGATTATCGCACGGTTTGTATCGATGAAACTGACAAAAGAACTTAAAAAAAAGTACAGAGAATTCTGTTGCTAGTGTGATGTCGATGTGATGCATTTAGAGCTATGGGGCTCCCTAGTTTTTTATCATTTTCAAGGGCATTTCATTGCATTAACTAATTGAAACTGCAATGCGAGAACAAAACGCATTTAATAATTTCATATTCATACATTCATATTTATAGCGTAGCTCAAGCACACAACTTAGCACAGAAGCTATCAAGCGCTAAGTGCTCAACAACAAGACACATTTGTCCGATAGTTGCTGTTGCTTTAATTTTGTTTCTTCTTCTTTATAAATATCTTTAAGTATTTTTTTTAAAATCGTTTAGCGATTTTATCGAATGATTTCTTTTGAAAAAAAAAACAATTTCCACCACATTTATCGATGTAATTGCTTGAGATTGTGAATGTTCAAGACTACATATAAATAATAATTTATACATAGAATTAACTTAAATCATTTTGTTGAATGTTGTGTTCACAGCTACACCTGCTCTATGCAGTTCTTTTACTTGGCTAATTCACGAATTGAATGACGAATTATTTGTGAATCTAATCGACACTCTTTCTCTCTCTCTCTCTCTTCATTCTCATAATTACGTTCGGCTAAACATTTTTCATCGATTTGAATGTTTGAAGAAATCGTCGATTTAAGTGGCAACTCTCATCTCTTTCTGACGTAGCCATGTTGACTATCTCTTTCTGACAAAGAAAAAAACTACGTGAAATAGTGTTTGTGGCCGGAGCTCACATCTTGGAATATATAAAGTTGTTAACAAAAATCGTGTTGATATGCTACTCAATTGGCTCGAAAGCCTAAATCACAACCGAACAGTAATTAATGCTGATGGAATATTTAACTGAGTGAGCCGCAAGGCAAACGCACAATAACAACAACAACAACAACGCAGCATTTTAAATACAGAAATTTTTTTGAGGTTTGTACGCGCATTTTTCTTGTTGTTTTATTTGGTTTTCAATTTGGAATTTCTCATCATTTTCAATATTCCATCCATTGTGCGGTTTTTGGTGTGTTCGATTGAGATTTTTGATCCGCTTTAATAATCAATACGTTCAACATCGAACAATATAACAAAACGTGAGCTTCTTTCACTCAAATAAAATATTCAAATGGATTTTTGCATTTTAACCAAAAACGCTAATAGCTGCTATTGATATAGATATCGCTTATCAAGCCCGACCTAGGCTAGCACTTAAACGAAATATACATTCAATTACATATTCTCTCATATAAAATTTGCATCGCGCGAAAAACACAATGGCAGATCAATTAAGAACAGGTGTAAATATAGTGTTTTGCTATAAACATGCAAAAAACCACACAGAGAATATTATACAATTGATTTATTGTTTGCGCTTTATTTATTCTCGCCTTCCACTTTTGTCTTTGTCTTGCTCATCAATAATGAATAAAAAAAATGTTCGCAAATGAACAAAATAATAGTGTGTTATTTTTCTTTAAATGGGAATTCGAACAACGATAACAAAAATATAAATCGAGATACAATTGTAATAAATGTGCAAATGCTATTTATTATCGGCGCGATTAGATTTCGTTTTTGTTCGAATGTCATAAAAATGCGGTTCAAGCACATTTTGTGCACATAATAACCATCAATATCAATTTGTAAATAACAACTGACAAAATAAAACGAAAAAAACACATCATTTTCAATCGCAAGCAAAGAGGGCAATTCATCTGCCTCAATTGTAATAAATCGACTGGATTATTATTTCAATGAGGTATAGTAAATATAAAAGATAGACATTTTTATCATAGAATTTGTATAACAGTGCTCTTTATTGCCCGAACCAAACTTGTTAACTCGCATTTAGAGAGAGAAGAAAAAAAAACAATTCTTTGTTGCATAGTGAAATTGTTTTTAGGCGATACGAAAAATACCAAACTTGAATGCGAACAGACATGCCTTTGAAATTTCTTGAAAAATGTGTATTTCTTTCATCGATAACTATCACATAAAATGTACATTTACACATTTCACTTGCTGGAGATGTCACAAATTTGGGATATCCGTTTTATTTGTGCATTAGTAAAAAAAATAATTCCAACACAAATCAAAACTCGGCCCACTTTAAAAAAAATGTCGACTTGAAACATACACAGAACTTACTCTTATTCATTTAAAAATAGGGACATTTCGTGATTAACTTTTCTGAATTGACGGGAAAAAAGAGATGAAAACTCATTATAGACAAATAACAATTTTGGTTATTCAATGGAAACTTATACAAATGGCATAATAACAGTGTCTATCTTTGTATTGCGGAGTATTTCGTATTAAAATAATTGAAAATAATAATTCACTTGATTTATGAAGAGAATGTAAGTATATGATGATCGAAGCCCAATCACAATTTGTTTGCTGTTTTCACGTGTTGAAATTTGATTGAAAACTTGATCCAGCACAATAAATTTATTGATAATCGTGAATACACTTGGTGACAGGTAGTGTTATGAACTTATCAACTCATATTATGTTGTAAATAATTCCACGAATGAAAAACAAGTTTTGTAATAGTTTTTTCAATGTATTGTTGTTGAAACAAAATGCGCGTGGAATAATGGAAGGTTTGAGACATGGTTAAAATAAAAGAAGTTTATCAAAGGCACAGACGATGAACAGAATTTCCCGACACTTTGCTCGTGGATTATGTTATAAGAGAGAGAGAGAGAGAGAGAGAGAGAGAGAAAGAGCATGCATCGCACCAACTGAAAACTGGATGAGTTAAGGAGAGCTGAATTGGATTTGTGTGTGCAAAGTGGTATTAAAAGGAGTTGAATGGCCATTGAATGAATTCAAATAAGCCAGCCGATTAACATGAATATTTTATTTGGCATTTTGCAAATCTGCCTAAAATCATACACACACATTCTCTCTCTCTCTCTTTCGGTTCACACACACAAAACTTACTCACGTAAAAAACAAGATATGTCAAATTACTCGTGGTAATTTTCGGTGGGGACAAATTGTTTTCGGGAAAATGTATACAGTGTATTTTCATTTTTTCTTTTATTTTATGGAAAAATGTAATGGGTTCGAAAATGATCGGTCGATTAAGCATTGTATGAGAATATATACGATCCAATGTATGCGAACCGCTCAACGAGTGTAAGCAACAAAGTGGCCGCGCGTTAATGTACATATTGCAATTCTTGCCACATAATTATAGATTAGCGAAGCAGTAGTGACCGTTTAATCAAATAAATAGCAACGTATCAATTAAATTCGTTTGTGCGCGCGCATTTGCTTCTTAGTCGTCTGTGCCGATTTTTGCGAACCATATACAAGCGAACTTGGTCTGATTGACACAAAAGCAACATCCGTTTGGATTGCAAATAAGAAAAAAAATTATCGATTTGTGAGCGCGTGAATTGTGGTCGAACACCGATCGAAAACCAATTGTGGTATCGATCAAGTCTGTAGTCGCTCAATGTTATTGATTGAATTGCACCAAGTGCAGATTATTTCTAATTAAAATGACGATTGAAATGCAAAACAAGAATGCTCGAAATCGATTGAAAATAGGTATAAGTCAAAGAATTGAATAAAGAGGTGCGTAAATGATAGCACATCACAACGGTAAATGCTATTTGCATTTAGAGATCGATTTCCTCCTTACGCTCCCGGTTTGCAGTTGGAATGTTGGCCACAATGGGCGAACGGTTATGATTTGAATACATTATATTTATATTTATTTCTGGTGCGTAATTGATATGCTTGGAGTTGAGATGCGCGACGAACGTTTAGCATTAACTAGCACCCGTTTGAAAATCAATGGCCTAATGCAAGAAATGTGAACAAGTGGAAAAAGAAGCACAGTGTACAGTGCAGACATGATGCGATAAAAATTAACCAGGAGGGATAGAGAGAGAGAGAGGGAAAGAAACACCACAGAGCGAGAGACACTTGACAAACGATATCTATCGAAATGTGCGATTCCAATCGCTGATTTCATGAGCAATGATTGCTGTACATTTGCGGTTGCGTTACCACCAATTCAATAATCGCTTTTAATTACGATGTTGAATGCGCAATGGGCCTTCGTTGTCATTTGTAGTCACTGCTGCAGCAGCAGCCTATTTTGTCATATCTTAAATGGTCGTTCATGTCACCAAGTCATTTCGTGAAGCTGCTTTAATCAATTTGACCGCAGATTATTACAATATACAGTGAACGTACGAGAGTGCAACAGAAATAGAGCGATCTGAAATCGATGGCGAAAATGATGGTGTCTGCAATGAGATGTTGATGTTATTGGATGGCGATTTGGAAATTCCGAACTGGTTTCCAACAGATAACAGATGAAGATAGAGAGAGAAGAAAAAATAAACCGGAAAGATAACAACACGATCGAAATCGAGACATAATTCACTAAATCGCCCGTTAAATTGACATGAAGAAAGACATTTATGTGCTTAGTTAGGTGCTTAACTGACAAACGACTTAAACGCTTTGAATCAAATAAATTCTCGGATGATTTTTATTTTCGCTTCTCCGTATGTCGTCGAGGGTGGTTTTCTTCCTCTCTTTTAGTCAAAAAGGAACACGATATTTGTCGTTGGCGTGCGCTTACACACTCACTTTACAACCCTATTTTTTCTTGCTTTTCGAAGAAAAATTGCACTTCGTTCCCCCATATATACTTTTTTTTCTTCTTCGTTCGCGAAACCACTCTCACTCCAAAAAAAAACACTCAAAGAACAAAGTTTTGATTTTGTTACTCCGCTTTTTTTGCACGCGTTTCAGTTACAGTTCTGAATCTCACACTTAATTTACCATTATCCAAAGCACCTTTTCGAATCTAATTCGGGATTAAAAAGAATACATGGTTTTCTTGTGTTTTTGTGTTGTTTTGTTATGTTTAAATATTACCTTAATTTCTTCCTTCTCTTTCAAACGAAATAGGATTTATTGGTTTTTTATGTGTTAAGAATTTAACGCGTGCTTTGAGTTTCTTTTTTGCGTATTAAATTAGCGAATACACCTCGGTTGTGGTTTACACACTTTTATGCAAAGACCGAAGACATTATGGGCAATCACGTTTTGTTTTACACGCGATTTAGATTTTCTCGACTTCAAATTTCAATTGTTTTCTATCACCATAGTTAATTTTTTAGATTAATCTCTCTTTTTTCAATTAGCGAGATTTTTTTTCGACTCAATTATGGAGAATTAAAAAAAGTAAAATTTCAAATTAATTTTTTTTCAACAGATTCATGCAACTTGACTAATTTCTTTTTTTTCAATCAAATTAAAAACCGATAACGCGCTAAAAAAATATCAAACTCAAAACGACGAAATGATCAAAATGAACAAACCAAAGAAAATTAAGAATAATTCACACAACTAAAAAAGAAAGAGCAGTGAATAGAAAAATGTTGCAAATGAAGTTTGAAGAGAACTCTGGATTTTTTTTGTGTTTCGTTTGTTTGGTTTCGTTTGTTTTTTTTTTTGTTTCTTTTTGAAAACACGTACCTGGCCGTTGTGCAATCCCGATAGAGAATGTCGAAATCTTTGCAGGACAACAGCTTACAACGATTCACACCCGGTTGGATAGCACCCAATCCGCGAAGGATACGCACTTGTTCCACATTACAAACCAACGGAACAATATCTAATCTCTTTAGTTTTGTATAAACTGTGTGTAATCCACCAACGAGATGCTTAAGGAATAGCTCGAATGCTTGCGGCAAACACAACATTGTGTCGCCGGCGATGATAAATGCGGCCACTTTATGGCCACGATAATCGACCAATTTGCATTCATTTGCCGTGGGATCGGATGTCGAAATTGGCGGCGGACTGTTGTACGAACGTGGTGGCATCTGATGATGGGCAGCTGCCATCAATTCCAATGGATTTGCATGATCTGCAACAAAAATTCGGCAAGCAAAAGAAAAAGAAATTGCAGAATGTTTTTTAGTAACAGTCAAAAGAAGATGCAGATAACTTGGCAAAAAATTGAATGTTTCGCAGACGGTCGGAATTTCAAAGAATTCGTCCAATTAAATTTTTTCGCAGTTTTTTTCTGAATATATTTATTTATTTTCTTTAACTTTTAATATTTAATTTTTTTGAGTTAAACTAATTTCGAAAATCGTGTTATTTTCACACGAAGAAAAAAATGTGAAGACAAACAAAAAAACGAAAAAAAAAAAATTATAAAATCCAACTTACGCATCATTTGTAGTGAATTGAGTAAACCCAAACTGTGTGGAGCCAAGTGCGGTAAACTTTGTGCCATTCGTGGGCCCATCGCGGCTGCAATGCTATTCGGTGTGGATGTTTGTGGTGGACTTAATGGATGTGCCATTGAAATCATGTGCGGGCTACTTTGATGATGTCGCAATGGTGGACTCACTGGTGACGGGCTTCGATTATGATTGTGATGATGATTTGATGAAGTTGTATTACTGTTATTTGATGCACTCATATTATGATTATTGTTGCTGTTGTTATTATTATTTGGGCTGACAGCCGATTTGGAATTGTATTGAGGCGATGGTGGTGCTGAGGCTACGCTATGATCACTTGCAGTCGATAGCGAGTCCATTGCTGAATCCATACTCATCGGTGTTGTTCGATTTTTTGTCGAAAAAACACTAGATCCGTTTGTTTCACTCAAATATTTGCTAACCAATGGCAGCGGATACAAATCAGCTAAGCTCGCCAGAGTTTCTCACTTTTACACGCGTTTAAGCGTGTCACAAAAAATTTTAGTAAAAAAACTTCTTGTTCTTTTCGTCTTCTTTTTATTTTTGTTCGTTTAATATCTCACTTTGTTTTCATTGAGTTCAGAAAAAGGTTTTTTTGCACAGTTGATCGACGAATAAAACCGATTTCAAAAAAAGCAATTGGAAGAACTCGTATGTATGGCGATGTGAGAGAGCGCACGACAATCAAATCCGCATTCGGTTTAAATACTGACTCAAATAAATCCGAATTCGAAATCGAAATGTTATTGGTGGCAGTTGCTAGCGTTGATATATGGAAATGATGCGATTTTCCATTTCTTGTTATACATATGCAAATATGTATGGTTCTGTGTCTCTCTGTAGATATGAGGGATTTGCGCTTGGCAAACGGCAAAGCGAATGAAAGAGCGAGAGACCAAGTGAAAGAGGAGCAAATGGTATTGCGCTTTTGCAATATTATTTTCGCTCTATGTGAAATAGTTGTGTACAGATCTGGATGGGTCTCTGGTTCGTTGTCTTTCTCTCTCTGTGTATTTTAATTCATTTTTGTTCGCAAATATATGTTGCATGTATATGTATAAATCGAATTGGATGGTTTCGGATGAATGTGGTTAGTTTTCCGAAAGAGACAGAGACACACAGTGGGAAAAACTCTTTTTCCAATCACGAGTTTCACTGTTCGTGTATATTGTTATTGCTTTGCTCAAAATATTTCTCTCTCTCGCCGAATAATTGTGTATATGAATGCGTAGTATTATGTATGGCAATATTGGATTGATCTCTTTATGTGCAAATTTGTGCAAGGAGTAGCCGGCGGCGCTGCTACATATAGATATAAGCTCTCTCGTCTCGCCTTATCTCTATCTCGAAAGCGCGCTCCAAAATGCCGAAAATTATTCGTCACACTCGTTAAAGCTTCGTATAATTTATTCACACAATTGCCGAATCGGGTTTCACGTGTATATTGTTCTCTTAGTTTATATTTCTCTCACTTCTTTAATAAAACACACCCAGCACCGACGAAATAAAAGAAATTGACAAAATAGAACAATTGGCCGGCCTCAGAGTTGCTGTTGACGATGAAGTCATAAGGTGTCATCAAATTTCACATCAGAAAAAAAAATATTCACGTTCAATTATTATCACTACACTTTTTTTTCGGTCACCGATACACCAATTTTAATCTTTTCTTTTCAATGTTTTCAGTAAATTTAAGTTTTCACAATTTTATCGGCAATCTTATTTTTGTCAAGATCTCTTCAAATTTTTTCCATTAATTATTTTTTTTTTGATTTTTTCCGTATTTTTTCATTAGAAAATGTTCAGAGTGCAGATGAAAAAAAAAATCACTTTAAAATGTTTGGCAAATACTTTTGTCTTAAGCCCGAGATGAATGTGATATCACATGAAATTGTGGCGATGCTGAACAGAACGATGCATACCGTACGAATTTTACAATTGAAATGGAGACAAATCACAGACAAATCGAAAAAAAGACGTAATCAAATCGAGCGACCGAGTACGAATGTGAAATGTGGGCAATAAAAATCCAAATGCTACCTACAACTTACAAAACGACAACACACAATCACACACAAAAGCAATTCAGAGTGTTTCTGAGTTGAGAGCATAACACAGTTCGGGCCCTCGGCACGAAGCATGCATGCAAGCAGTTAGCCAGCTTTTCTTCGCTCTCTCTATATGTAAAACCGTATAGATGTGGGTATGAATGTGTATCCGAATGACGACGCGAGACACACACTCACAATCCAACCGAAATATATAATTTCTCGTTCTCTATCCGAATCGGAGAGAGAAGAAGCAACAGCAGCAATACCAGCAGCAACAACAACGGCACTCTACGGCAGCAGCAGCTTTTTTACAGGAGCATTTACCCAGTACAGTACATACAACAACAAACCGAAAGACAGAAATGAAACGCAAACCGAACGAGAAATGAATGCGAAAGAAAAATAAAATAAAAGAAATAACATTATGTGATCGCGAATGTATGAGCGAGCGAGCTAGCGAAAGAGAAAAAAATGATATAAAATAAGTTTTTCTGTTATGTATATCAAATGTTATGTGCGCACTGTTATTCGCTGTCTCTTTCTCTATTGAATATATCGTTACTTGTGCACAAATACACAACCGAATTATACATACGTATATACAGTCATACATTTGGATTCTTATCCAACCCGAAAAGGAACACTGGAAATAAAAATGAATAAAGAAACATACACAAATAGGGAGAGTGCGAGTGAGTGAGCGAGCGCGCACAATACAAACAGAGAGAAAAACGAATAAAATACACAACAACAATAACAACAACAAGAAAAAAATCATACAGAACGAAAACGAGAAAAAAATTGAATTGAAACGCGCATATACCAAAAGGCGCCGTGAATACAAATGTATCAAAATCAACATAGACTAAAGCGCTGGATGGCTGAATTGCTCTCTGCACACACCAACAGAGCGTACCACCGGTACAGAGGGACAGGAAAAAGGCAGAGAGAGCAAGCGAAAACGAAAAGGAAAAAACAAATCGAAATTGAAATCGTCAAAACGAATCACACACAACAAATACGCGCGCACATAAAACAGTTGCACACACCATCTATATAGACGGAGAGCCGAGCCGCAATAGTGCGCTGGCAAACGGCGAATACGACAAGAGATAGCATTCACAGAAAACATTTTTCATGGAAAATATATCAATCCATACGTGAATCGACGTAGTACAGGGCGAAAGAGGCATACAGAGAGTGAGAATATAGAATACGAGAAATACACTACCGGAGGTGGGAACTAAAATCGTTACATTTGTGTGCTATGATGGTAATGTGTGTGCGTTTGTCGATGCTTTTTTCCTCTCTTCTCATTTTCGTTTCATTCGCTTTTTTCGTTTTTATTCGCCTTTTTTATATTGATGCCGTTGTCGCCGCTGCTACTGCTGCTTTGTTGCTCCGTTTCTTCTGCATTTCTATTTCTTTGACTCTCCGTTTGTTCATTTCAACTGTACGAATGGTATTTACGTTTCGTTTCCACACTCATACACCGAATGAGTGCGCCCCGTTCACACACGTACATTTGTGCCCGACATACATACAAACATTCATATGTATGTAGCGATTCCGTATTTCGGATGTGTCATGCGCTATCGTCACATTTAAACGATTGGTTAGCAAACACCAGATAGCAATCGTTTACGATTGGCGGACCGAATGCGACACTATACATGTATGCGTATTTGCCTCTTATTCCAAAGATTATCCGCCTATATTGTGCATCTCGCTCACATTTTCCATCTGTATTTATTCATTTTTTTTTGAATTTCGGTTTTCTTTTGTATGTTTGTATGTCGGTCGGTCGGAGTTTGAACGGGTGCCGAGTTCGTTTGTTGTTGCTTCGGTTGCTTCTGCTGTTCGGTTGTTTGTCAGTCGATTTGGGTTTTCTTCGAGTTTGTTTGAATCCAGTATTTGTGTTTGTTCGGATTCTTCATTTCCATTCAGCGTATGTACATAAGCCATCGCTTTGCATCTAATATTGTAAGATGAAAGCTTCTCGGCTGCCAGCGGTTACAATTCGCTGTTGTTGTTGCTCTCTTGGTGTTGCATTGGCTCAGCTTGATGTGTTATTCGTTCTGCACAAATAACAATTTTCATTTCAATTTCTATTCGTTTTTTTCCTCTTGGTGCAATACATAACCGTTTCGTTTTGTTGCTCCTTCGCCAGATCACTCGAGACAGATTTCAGGCACAACTTCGTACAAAACGACAAAGCAAAAGAAAAAAAAATTAAACATCCAACCATACATTATGCATACAGCGCGAATGAGTACGGTTGGTTTATATATTTCTCGATGTGGCGTATGTGTGAGATTGAGAATTCGAACTACTTTATATCATTTTAGCATTTGCCATTTTCCTTCTCTTGTATATTTTTCATCGTCGCTTTTTCGCATTCTCTCTCCAGATCGTCCTCAGCAAAAAATGAGCGAATGAGCCAGTGCGAAAAAGTGAGAAGTGAAAACAGAGACAGGGCGATTTCATTTCTTTTTGTTTAATTTTTTACGCGAGCGAATTTCATTCCACTATTTTAAATTAAATATTCATTCATGTACTCGAAGTGCGCACTGTGTGTAGGTTTCTTGATTATTTTCGGAGTTTTTTTTAGTTCGAAATTCTTCTTTTTTTTAATCATTGTCGCTGCTTTTTTATTCCTATACACACGCAATTTTTATTTGTATTTAACGTTTTTTGATGATTTTTTTCGCCGTTTCAATTTTTGTTCATTTTTACTTCTTATTCGTTTCGTCAATTGCTTGTTTCTGTTATGAGCACAAAAGGGCGAAAATTACATATTTCAACATTTTCCTTATTCCATTCGCAATATTATTCCGTCTTCATTATACCTCTTGGAATAAAATAGAAATTTAAAAAGATTGCTAGACTTTAAAAAGCGAAGTTTTTAAGAAACTAAATTAAAAAATGTTCGATTGAAAACAGAATTGCGTTTGAAAGTAGTTTCATGTTTAATCGATTGGATTTTATATCCATTTGATTATCCTATGTGAAATAACTATGCATTGACTAGCACGTGCGCGGTCGCGTCATACGTTCTATTCTATATTTGATGGACGAACGATGGTTTTCGTTGAAGACTCCCATTTACGTTTATAGTATTCCAACAATACAAATACTTCTCGTCCGCAATTTCGTCACTTTTTGCTTTTGTGAAATGACATCAAACGAATTCAAGTCCAAAAACCACGCAAAAAAACATTAGGATTCTTCTCCTGTCAAAAAGACTGAAAAACGGGCATTCCATCACAAAAACTCATTCATTTTTGCTGAAATAAACGGCACAATGAAAGAATTGAGTAATTTGAATCTGCAACAAAAACAATCAATGCATTTTTTTCTCAATTTCATTCGTCTATCTCGTTTCATCGAATTGGAATCGTTTTTTTCTGTTTGTTTCAAGTGTGTTTGTGGGCATTCATTATCATTTTCAATGGTTTACTACTCACAGAAAAATTTCCGGGTATTTTGAACCCAGAAATCGGTTTAAATCACAGCGGAATGATTTCTGGGTTCAAAAGATCCGAAAATCCGAAAAACCGGATAACACTTAAATTTGAGACTTTCAATGAGACTTGAATCTGTATTTCAACGTTCAACTATCATCTTACGCATTTCTCTCACAGTTTATTCATATACATGAATGTCCAGATCATTTCTCCTCGCTCACTCTCATACGATATCATATGGGAATATGAATCTTGTGGAGTAGGTGGATCCGACCTGACCCAAAATGTTCTAGAAGTTGAGCACTCGTGGTCCACTCCCTTTATAGGTGGTACCAAATTTTCGTTATTTTTCTCGATTTCCCATCGGAAAAGCGAGAAAAATCGATTTGAAGATTTTTCTAGTTTTCTTTATATAAATAAACTGTGAGAGAAATGCGTAAGATGATAGTTGAACGTTGAAATACAGATTCAAGTCTCATTGAAAGTCTCAAATTTAAGTGTTATCCGGTTTTTCGGATTTTCGGATCTTTTGAACCCAGAAATCATTCCGCTGTGATTTAAACCGATTTCTGGGTTCGAATTATCCGGAAATTTTTCTGTGAGTATACACCTCGGAATTGGTAGGATGTTGTAATTTGTATTTATAACTTTGTGATATGCATAATTTCAGAATACGAATATAACCATTTTTTTTTCTTATTTTCTCTCTTCTCTTGTGTGTTTTGTCTTTCTCGTGTCTGCATTTCGATCATTCTTTCATAATTCTCCTTCTTCCTCTACATTTTTTGTATATATATATTTTTTATAATAAATTGTTCTGTACGAAAATGAAATGCACAAGAGTTGAGCGATAACATGCGCGCAACAACAAACTAAACACAGACAGCATAACATTGTATATCAAAGTAAGGTACACGAGAATGGTGGTTCATTTAAAGAGCGACATTGCAAATGTTGCGAAAAGCTTCGGGATACTGAATGGGTGACTATTGGTTGCTTGTTTCGTTCATAGGAAATGTTTGTATGGAAACTAATTCGGCTGTTACTGCTGCTGCCGATGTGCCACACTAATTTATGTATTTGTTGAACAAACACATATTTATGTAGATCTTTTTTTGATAATCTCATTGCATATATCAGGTTTGGTATGTGTGTATGCCAGGAAACGACGAAAACAAGAACCATTATAAACCACACCAAAACGCGCGGTGTATGCGTCGCTTACCATACACATTACACACAAATTCAAATTTATTCGTTATCTCGCTCTCATAGTGTGTGCTTATTTTCCAAACTATCACATACCACGATTGTATATAATCGTTTGCTGTTTTACCTTGCCGTCTCTTTGCTCCTTTTTTCGTCTTCGTAGTCATTTCACAGCCTGAATTTCTTTGATTGAATCTTTGCGTTTTAAGCCGAAAAAATAATTACGACAACAAAAATGAAACACAGAAGCAGAATGCAACA